CTTTCCCTCTCACCGTCTCTGTGTGTCTCTCTCTCCAGGGAGTGCACATACCCTAAGGCAATAAAAACTCTTAAAAAAAAAAAAAAGTATTGGTTTTATCAGACTCAAGCTTCAGAAGGCCCCACCTTGCCCTGAGGTCTCAGCGCGTGACCCTGGCTGTCAGTCTCCTCGTCCTCTAGTTTAGGGGGTGCAATGTGGTCTCTAAAATCCTTCCTAGATCTAAAAAGCTCCCGCGGGGACCCATTTTATATAAATAGCAATGTGCAGTGGCTAGAATCAGCACAAACCCCTAACAGCATGCGAGGCTCCGGGAGAAAGCGTGTCCTCTCCCCACTCTCGGCCTCAGCGACTCCCCGGGCTCTCTGCGTGTCTCCACCTCTTCCGCACTGGAAGTTTCTAGAATACTCATGGCATACCCCGAGCATGTCTGGCTGTTCCGTTTCCTGAGCCGGTCATGGCTCCCCGGATTTGCAGAAATCGCTCTCTCTCTACATCTCCGTTTTGTCCGGCAGGGTGTGTTAAAGAGCGGTGATCACTCCTGGAGGCGGTAAACACTGCAGACACTACGGACGAATCCGAATCCACAGGGGGTCAACAAGCCTCCCTACGGATCCCGCACTGCCTTTTGAGAAAACCGATGCTTTCTTCAACTATTTGAAAAGGGAAAACGTGCTAAATTTAAGATTTTTCCCCCAGCAATATAAAAGACAATAATCATTAGCAGGGAAGGGGGTGTCGTTCCAAGTTCCATCCAGGTAGGCGGAACTGCTAACTTCGCCATCTTAGCCACCTAACGATCAGGAATAAGCGCAGGGACGCAAGTAGGTCTGCGGTGACACACCGACGCCCCATGAGACCCCTGATAGGTGTGGAATCGGCACCCGACGTCACGGCCCTCGGCGGCGCCAAGATCGCCCGCGCGGCCCCTCCCAGCCCATCCACACGCGGCTGCCCCGCATCGCGCATGCGCGTCGGGGCCCCGTTACCATCGGCAACGGCAGTCGGCTCCCACAGTCAGACAGTCAGCGTGGCACGCAAAGGCGGGACTTCCGACTCTGGACGCCAATGCGCACGCGGCAGTCGGCCGAGCACCCGGCACTTCCTGTCGCGTGATCGTGAGGACCAATGAAAGTGCAGAACTGCGGGCCCACGTGCCTCCGTTCCCACTAGCAACCGGAGGCTTCCAAACAACCTGCCCGCCCTCCCTGCTGCGGTGAGCTCCCCTCTGCGGCCCCGGGCTTGGCGCCGCTCCGCTGGGCCTTGCCGGCTCCTTTCCGCCGCCGACCCCGCGGCCCTGGTAAGTGGCCCCCCCCCCCCTGCGCGCA